GTGAGATACTCGAGTTTTCATATTCAGTGATGATTATTTTTGAAAAATTTATACATATACACTGAAATACATATATATGCAATAAAGATGTCTATAATATTTATACATTGTTTCTTGATTAATAATTATAATTGAATAATTAATAATTATAATTGAATAATTAATTATTATAATTTAATAATTAATTAATTAATTAGATTTCAATCACCAGATGATTGGGAGTTCATCTGTTGTTTCCTCGCCTTGGCCCTTCTGTTCTGAAACCAGACCTGGTGATGATAAAAAAAAATTATTATTATTACTCTGTGTGTGTGTGCGTGCGTGTGTGTGTGTAAATGTGTGTGTGTGCGTGTGTGTATGTGTGTGTGTGTAAATTTGTGTGTGTAATTATTGTTATGGTTATTATTTTCACTATTATTGTTGTTATTATTGTTATTAGTAGTGGTTGTTGATGCTGGAGTAGTAGAATTCTGTTTTTTCCATGGTATTATCATTATTGTTAGAGTTATTATTACAATTATTAATATTATTATTATTATTATTATTATTATTATTATTATCATTTTTATTATTCTCATTATTATTATTATCTTCAGTAATCTTTAAGCTCAATGTTTTATCATTGATGTTATTCTTGGTAGCAGTATTTTGGGGCAGGATGGCGAAATGGTTAAGGCGACTGTCTTTGCTGTTGCAGACACCCTGTTCGAATGCAAGCCGATCTTTGGCTGAAATACGCATTTGCATTATTCTAGGTATATTATTATTTATAATATATAACAATATATTTATTATTAATTTTTTAATATCTTCAAATCAGTTTTAAAATAGGTTCATTTTGTTTGTTATTTTGCGGGAAATATTGCTGTGTCTATGGAAGTTCCATTTTTTTACACTGTATATTATATTTCAATTTTAAACTTAATTTCTCAAGTTAATGCTACAAATGCGCATCTTGCAATAAATCGTTTATTAATGTTGGCAGACACTCCTGGCGTAGCGCGACAGACACAGCTCACTTTAACGCTAACTTTGTACATTCACTCGCCGCAAATTCGAATGTTGATACTCCTGCCAACATTTTCAACTCAAGTACTGTCAGTATTCATTCTGTCGATAAGGGTATTGACAATTTAATTTAATGCTGCTGCGGGGGGATCTGCGAAGGCCGCAAGGGACTCAAAATGCACCAACACTCGTGCAAAGCGCATCAACAACTTCAATTAACTAACGATGAGGGATCGCCGTCCAAGCATCAACCTCGATGTCGCCACCACCTTTGCCATCGTCGGATGCTCAACAACCACCGGCGACAACAAGCCACCAGACGCTACAAAATGTCGGAGACGCTGGAACGCCTTTCCTTAGAATCAGACTTCCACGAAGCCCAGCTCAATGGCTTGAGGCCAACGCTTATTTTCAACTTCACCAACAATCGACACTACCAAATCTCACCAGTTTGCAATCGGTTTCCAAACCCTGACCTACCTACAACTACTTTGCCCCAACTTCGGCACCATCAACAATAAAATTAAACCGGACGGATGTACAAAAACGTCAATTAAGCTGCTGAAAAAAGATGAAAACAACTTAAATTCACAACAATAAGCATGTGTCGTCAAACTACAATTCGAGTTCGTCCCTGAAAAGATATACAACGCGCCAGGGCAATGTACTATCGGTGATTTTAGAAAAAATTCAATTATTTGCAGGTGCGGATGTATTGTTCAACGCAG